GGCTTTATGCAAATGAAGCCCGGGAAATTCAAATCCCGGGCTTCATTTGCATTAGGGTATGTCTACACTACCACCCTAGTTCGAACTAGGGTGGTAGTGTAGACATACCCTCACATACCAATGTTTTTATAATTATTATTATTATTATTGCATCCTAATATTTGCATTTACTCAATTATAACATATCAGCACATTATAAGGAAGCAAATGTTTCCAAGAAATGCAATTTATTTTTCTATAATTATATATATTTAAATGAAAAGGAAAAATTAATGAACAGGAAAATCTTCAGAAATAAGAATCTGAGCATATAAACACCCATTTCTCTATTTTATAGCTATTTTTTATTTATAATTTTGTCCTAACAACAATGGGTCAAATGTTCCCTTCCCACCAAAAACACAGAGAGAAAAACTATTTCTATTTGCCATATCTGGGTCCTCCCTTCTCTGACCAGGTCCTAGCAGATACCAAGAGCAAGTTAACACTGGAGCCACATGTGAATGTTCATACGGGGAGAATGCTGCAGAATAACTCCACCCACTATCACTTCTGGCTCTACCAACTGACTACCCAGCAAAGCTGCAAATGCACAAAGGGGTGCAGACAGTTGAGCTTTTTTATGTTCTCCTCTTCTACCCCCATCTCCTGCCCTCCCCACAATAGTCCCCTCTTTCTGCCCCTTTCTGTCTACATGCAAGGAAAGCATCATCACCAGACACTAATTAAGAAACACTGGGCCCATCCTTCTCCCACTCAGGTTGCTGGCAAAACTCCTAGTAACTTAATAGACGCTGGAATGGGACCCTAATCAATAAAAGCTTGCCAGGTAAAAACGTCACACATTCTTATACCATCCCATATAAAAAGCTCAGTCAGCAGGGTGGGATTTGATTCAAACTGTGCACATCAGAAAATATAACCCTATTTCAAACAGACAAATGAGACCCCAATATATTACACAAATGGTTAATCACATTGTCATTATTAGCACATTGTTTTGTTCCTCAGTCACGCAACATAAAGCAAGTAATTTCTGTAAATATCAGAGACTTCAGATTATAAATAAAAAATACTAATTATTCAATGAGACTAGTGTATTTTTACGAACTCCCCAAATGGACTGCATAGAATTGTTTCTTGAGGACCAGATTGAGACAGATTTGCATTCATCCTTTTTGCTTCATCCTTGTCTTCATCTCCAGAGATCTTTAAAATTGGCAAGATCTCATTTATGCATCAACCTATTGAAATTCACATTATATTTCTCCTAAGTGACTGCAGAAAATGCTTTCTTTGCAATCCTGTCAGTTAGATCAAGGCGTCATTCAAGAGAAATCTAAATCTTTACAGGCTTCAAAAGCAGTCTCATGTGAAAGCTCCCCAGATGAAGCAAAACCAGAATTTGGCTACACTGATAGCTTGAAGATGAAAATACACAGCGCTATTACCTTTTCCACAACACTTTAAAGTTATGCTACTATACTCAGCCTTTCCATTGAAAAGAAGTGTCTGAACTCTTGTTAAGTTGACTACTGTCATAACATTTTTTCATGTAATCTAAAAAACACCACCATGCATGTCTCTGTAGAATCCTTCAATACAAAGTTTCTTTTGAACTGAAGTTTCTGAATAAACTGAAGTCTCTAATAAAAAACAAAAAATCAATGTCCACCTAGCATAGTTCTCTTTGAGCACTTTGCATTTCAGCTGGTTCAGAACATGCAGCCAGGGCACGCAGAAGAAAATGTGCAGGCCAGTGCAGGGGTTGACTCACCTTTGTCCAAACATTAGAGTAGACTTGGTTTCTGCTTCGTTGAAGACGGAAGGAGAACAGCAGATAACAATGGTAGTTCTGCAGTTCCCACCAAGGGAGTCTTGAAGAATTCGAGTCATTTTGCTGTCTCGGTATGGAACATGGGTTTTCTAATTGAAAGATAAAATTATTATTTGAAAAGTAATTTTATAGTCACATTAAAAAAGAGCATGAGGTACCAACGATTTAGACTTTACTGAGTTTGCAGGGCATAACATAAGTATACTTGTTTTGATTCTGTTAAGATGTGTGGTTCCTGCTAACAGTTTAATTGGTAGTCACTAGGTGTTAGTTTTCATTATGCTTTCTAGACTACGTAACAAGAACAGTGTTACATTAGTTTACAGTTTAACATGACGAGAATGTCTACATTGCACAGCTATTTCGAGATGCCAGAGGTATCCCGAAATAGCTACCCTGCGTCTACACAAGTCGTCCGTTATTTTGAAATATTTTTTGAAACAACAGGCACACTATTTCAGCATCCTGGTAACCTTCATTCTCACAAGGGTTAAGGGATGTCTCGAAATAGCACATGATTTCAAAATTTGGAGCTGTGTAGATGTGCCAAATTTCAAAATAAGCTATTTCTAAATAGATTCAAAATAAGATAAGAAATTTGCATTGTGCAAATTGTGTATCTTATTTCGAGTTTAGGGCATTGTCTAGACACACCCTAATACTCCTCACTCTTCTTTCTAAGTGGAGATGTTAGCTTATTTCGCATCCATGACAAAGAAAGCTAAAAAATGTAGCTTTTTAATATTATCTAGAGGCACACACACACAAAAGAAAATTACTTACAGTTCCCTCTGCCAATGCTGAGATCACATTGCCCAGAGCAGACAAAGACTTATTGATATTTTTAGCTTCATCAAGAACAGCGCCCTCTGCTCCAGTTTTGCTGACCTACCACATAGCAGATATAAATCAGACTAAATGGTCAATGACAGCTTGCACAAATAAAGTTACAATACAGGAAGACAATCTAAAAGTTACAGAACCTTGGAAAAGAGGAAAAAACAGTATCCTCAAACTAATACATTTACTTTAAAAGGTATCTAGTACTTTTAGGGCATCTAAGAAAAAAAGACTATTAACAGCATTTTCCATCCTTCTCTTGGTTCTCTTCCCATGAGCTCAATATTGGAACAGTCTATGGGCAGCTCCTTACATGGTCAAAGCAACCACTGAGTACAATGGGAATTTTAGTAAATGTAGGATTAGGCCGTGGGTTTCTTTTTAATTGCACCTCTGAGGCACAGATACTGCTTCTGCAAATAGCTACAGGAATGGATGCTACATCATAGACAAGTGAAAAATTGCCCCCTCAACAAAAAAGCTATCCAAATGAGAAACTATATAATTTCAAGTTTTATACTGAATGCCACCAAACCAATCACAAATCTGAATTTAAGGAAGAAGGGAAGATAGCTTGGAACTCATTTTCTAAACCTCTGTAACGCTATTCTGAATTCTCTAATGAATATATAATAAGTTCATGCATACACTTCTTTAAGTTAAAGTACTTTTTTGCTGCCATAATGTAAAGGCAATTTCTAATGGAGTTACCAATGAGCATAGGAAGAATATTACACCAGCCATGCAATACACTGCAACACAACATTTTACTTTTCCCATTTATCTCCAAAGAGAAAAAAGTCTATTGCCATTATGAAAGTACTACCCATACTATTTAAGTTAGAAGTATTTGAGAAAAAAATCAATGCCAACTATGTGGATAGAGATCATGGAGAAATGCAACAAAGTCCTAAATTAGACTTCAAATAATCATTGTAACCAAGGAATTTTTAAATAGCCAGACATTCTGTTTGACTGCAGGTTAAGAACATTTTCTTTGATGTTCAGACCTATTCTGGCCACAAAATAGAATTTTGTTCTCTTGTAACTATGTTTAAGCCCATTATTCTTCTGAGTAAACAGACAGACATTTCATTCTGCTTAATATTTGGTCTGTTTCCAAATAAAAACAAAAATAGCTTATGCCATCAGTGATATGAAAATCATCATGCATGGAGCCTCAAAAAAAATGTAGTCTTCAACTACATGCACTGTATGAAATAATATCATCGCAACGCACCAACATACTATATCAACTGCTGGAAAGGTATAACAAGTGGAGTTCCGCAGGGGTCTATTTTGGGACTGGCTCTGTTCAATATCTTCATCAACGATTTAGATATTGGCATAGAAAGTACACTTTTGAAGTTTGCAGATGATACCAAGCTGGGAGGGGTTGCAACTGCTTTGGAGGACAGGATCATAATTCAAAATGATCTGGATAAATTGGATAAATGGTCTGAGGTAAACAGGATGAAGTTTGATAGAGACAAATGCAAAGTTTCACAGAATGGGAAGCGACTGTCTAGAAAGGAGTACGGCAGAAAGCGATCTAGGGGCTATAGTGGATTACAAGCTAAATATGACAAGAGTGTGATGCTGTTGCAAAAAAAGCAAACATGATTCTAGGATGCATTAACAGGTGTGTTGTGAGCAAGACACGAGAAGTCATTCTTCCGCTCTACTCTGCACTGGTTAGGCCTCAGTTGGAGTACTGTGTCCAGTTCTGGGCACCGCATTTCAAGAAAGATATGGAGAAATTGGAGAGGGTCCAGAGAAGAGCAACAAGAATGATTAAAGGTCTAGAGAACATGGCCTATGAAGAAAGGCTGAAAGAATTGGGTTTGTCTACTTTAAAAAAGAAAAGATTAAGGGGGGACATGATAGCAGTTTTCAGGTATCTAAAAGGGTGTCATAAGGAGGAGGAGCGAGAAAACATGTTCATCTTGGCCTCTGAGGATAGGACAAGAAGCAGTGGGTTTAAACTGCAGCAAGGGAAGTTCAGGTTGGACATTAGGAAAAAGTTCCTAACTGTCAGGGTGGTCAAACACTGAAATAAATTGCCCAGGGAGGCTGTGGAATCTCAGTCTCTGGAGATATTTAAGAGTAGGTTAGATAAATGTCTATCAGGGATGGTCTAGTCAGTACTTGGTCCTGCCATGAGGGCAGGTGACTGGACTCGATGACCTCTCAAGGTCCCTTCCAGTCCTAGTATTCTATGATTCTATGAACTGAAGCACTGGAAATCGGATATGTCTGTATTAAAAACAGTAATGGCCCAAATTAAAATCTTACAGAAAGGTTACATGCCCTTCCCCCAAACAAAAACATAGAGAGTCTGTTCTCATGCCCAGGTTTCTGTAAGTGCTAGTGAACAAACCTGGCCTCCCATTACAGCAAACATTAAGATACATGCTCCAATATAGAATGTATGAAGTTATATGAAAATATAAATTTATTAAAATTATGCTGTTGCATTGCACTCCATTACAAATTAAAGACTAGCAAGAGATGCTGTGTTTTGCATTTTATTCTAAGTACTACTCACCTGTTCCTTTTTCCCCTACCTTGAACTCCAAACATGTCAAAAATTAAGTTTGAGCCACTATTTTTATCTACCAACTAGACTTTTAATAATGTTAAAGCTATGCTACATTTAGTTCCAGAACTTGCATATGCTACAACCAAACACACACACTGAGTCAGAATACTTCTAAGCATGGCAAAAATTAGTGATAAAAATGTTCTTTTTACCTTCTCACTTCCAGCTAAGTCCACCAGATAAAGTTTTCCACTGAGTTTCTTTTCAGTTTCTACATTCTCTTGTTTAATATTAATCAAGAAGATACTGTGGCTTCTAGAGCTGTGTTCATTCATATCTATAGAGAAATAATACTTTTAATGGTTCTAACACTCACATTTATTGTGATTTTAAAATCTGCAAGTATGTTATTTCATTTTATCATCGTTGGCCTATGACTAGTCAACATGCATGGAAGCACAGCACAATAGTCTACTTAACTTCTTGAACTATTAAGAAAGCAGGTGCCCCTTAAGAGTAATGACAAGCATTTATGTGGTCTAAAATGACCTTTTATTTTCTGTCTACCCGGCTTTTTAAAATATCAGCTAGATTCATGAGAAATGACATGACCTTTGGGAAGGGGTAAAAAATGTGGAGCATTTCTTTAGAAGGATCTGCAACAAATACCTTCTTACACAGCATACATTTTGTGCCTAAATTGAGAATTCCAACTTATTTTCATTAATAAAAATTCAGTCTGAAAGCCCAAGAGATTTAGGAGTACAAAGCAGAAGTCTAGATACTCCTGTGACCAAAAGAACCTATGTATTCGCATCGTACACACTATTGTAATCTTTCTGCAAAATATGCCTTGTCATGTATCATTTAAAAACTAACACCACGCTGATCATACTTCTTGGCTATGTCTAGACTGGCATGATTTTCCGCAAATGCTTTTAACGGAACAGTTTTTCCATTAAAAGCATTTGCGGAAAAGAGAGTCTAGATTGGCACGGACACTTTTCGCAAAAGCACTTTTTGTGGAAAAGCGTCCGTGCTAATCTAGACGCGGTTTTGCTCAAGAAAGCTCTGATCGCCATTTTCGCGATCGGGGCTTTTTTGCACAAAACAAAACCGCATTGTCTACATTGGCCCTCTTGCGCAAAAACATTTGCGCAAGAGGGCTTTTGCCTGACGGGAGCAGCATACTATTTCCGCAAGAACACTGACAATCTTACATGAGATCGTCAATGTTCTTGCGGAAATTCAAGCGGCCAGTGTAGACAGCTGACAAGTTTTTCTACAAAAGCAGCTACTTTTGCAGAAAAACTTGCCAGTCTAGACGCAGTCCTTGTGTAACCCAAATATGAGATGCATATTAAGAGTTATGAACGTAAGTTAAAATTACTACTACAGTATGTTAACCACACAAGTTTCGGGAGAAGAGTAAACAAATGACAAGCTGATGCCTCCTAGCCAGGTGTCAAAGCTGACTGGCAATCACTAGTCAAGTGGCCAATCTTTGGCAATGAAGGGGGGCAAGAACAGCTCTATCTGCATCTTAGCAAACATGGAACCTCTTTCAACAAGATATTTCATATTTCTTTTTTCATAGGCTGAATTTTATCTAAGGGCAATGTTTAGGAAAATGTATTTCAAAAGGTGATGGACTATAAATGGGAGACTGAAAATATCTCAAGCTAGCACCCTCTCTCTCTCTCTCTCTCTCTCTCATCACTCAAGATGATAAAGGCACTGACCCAACATGATAGTTTGATAGGAACTGATTCCCTGTTGCTGGGAAATCCTCACGTAGTAAGAATTTTTCCTTGAACCATGTCTAACTTGTTAAAATTCAGCAACTAGGTGGTATTTTATCTTTATTTTTGCAACCATTTTAATTAATACCTTATACCTAAACTAATCCAATTAACAAATAAAGTAGTAAACTTTTGAATATTGACCCTTTAGCACAGTGTTTCTTAAACTTTTTAAGACTGAGGAACACCAAACAAATTTTTTTATGGGGAACACCAATGATTTTTTGTTGAAGGGGGGGGGAAAGGTTGGGAGGGGAAGGGAAGGGTTGGTGGGAAAGTTATTGAGAAAAGAAAAGGTCGCCTGCCCCTCTAAGGGTGGCAATTTTGAATTCTGTTGTTCTCCATGGCACACCTCCGACTGCCTCGCGGCACACCAGTGTCACGAAACACAGTTTAAGAAACACTGCTTTAGCAGGAGCAATGAAACATTAACACCTAACCTGTCCAAGAAAGGGCTGGACAGAGCAGAACATGTTTTAAAAAAAGTCTGGGACTGGGAATATATTGGGATGACCTTGCAAATAGTAATCCAGGCTGCCAAAGACCAGAGTGTGACTGGAATATTGCCAACAGGTTTCTGTGTTGGAGTTGCTGGACCAGGGTGTTGCTCTACACAGACACTCAGGCAGTGGCTTACACACAGTTGAATTGTTTGAGGGCAGTCCTACGTGGAAGCTACAACAGCAAAGCATTGTGAGGCACTCAAGGTTGTCGGACAGATGGTGATAGCTTCTTGCTGGTCTGGATTAGGGATGTGAAGGACTATTCGACTATCCGATAAGCAAATGCTTATTGGATAGTCAACTAGTCACTTCTCCTCCTTGCTGCCTCTATCAGATAGAGACAGCAAGGCAAGGGAAAGAAAGGGGGTACTTCAAAGGGGGCAGCACCGCTTGAAGCATGGAGCCAGACCCCGGGCTCCATGCAGTGTTGCCCATTTGAAAAGTTGCATCCAGTCCAGGGCCAGCTGAGGTGTCTCCCCAGGCTGCATGCGGCATTTCAAAGCGGCAGCACCACATGGAGCCCGGGATCAGCTGACCCCAGGCACCATGCAGCGCTTTTGTCTTCCAAGTGTAGCAATAGCCCTAGGGTCTGGATGTAACTGTTAGCATGGTGTTCATCAGAAATACATCTGAGGATTTGTATGGCAATTTTAAGTGATTTTTGTTGCTTTTGAGGCATTGTGACCTGGGACCTGGAATCCTCCATTATGCACACAATAATAGACACAGCATGGTCAGGCACAGTGCAAGTTTCTACACAACATAAGCTTGGATCTAACTGCATTTTTCGGAGGTTGTATTGACATCCAAGAGCAGATGATGTCAGAGACAGGTAACCACCTCCTTTCCCTCCACCCAACCTTCTCTATCATCGCAGACTTCCTTTTCTCCCAAGCTTGCAATCTTTGTGTTCACTTCAGTCCCATTCTCTTTCTCGACGATTTTTCCTGTTTTCCTCCTCTCCTTCCCATCTTCAACACGGGCACTAGTTTACTCTCTAGACTGCCACATCTGGTTGTGGAACGGAACAGGGGATTTGGGTGCCTAGTCTACAGAAAATAGTGGAAACATGGAAGCGTAGAATACTCAGAGAACCAAGAACAGAGATGGAGAAACAGAGACCTTGTCTACACTGACCGGGAGATCTATGCTGCAGAGTTTGATCTCCCTAGATCTAAAGCCCACTAAATCTACCACTGATCATGCTCCTGTCCACTCCAGTACTTCACTGGGTCATGAGGAGTGAGGGGACTCCCCATAGCGAGGATGCTGTGGCAAGTCAAACTAGAGTACCTCAACTCCAGCTATGCTATTCAAGTAGCTGGAATTAGGTACCTTTGTTCGTCTTTGCCCCCAGTGTGGATCTGTCCAGAGAGGGGCAAGCCATTCTATAGAAGTATTTCAGGTGTAGTAAGAAAGGCAAAGGAAACTGGGGGAGAACAGTACTTTAGACATGGAAGGAGGAGGAAGTGTAGGAAAGAATGGTATTATTCACTGAGTGACAGCAAACTGAAAGCAACAACAAGGATTCAGAAGGTAGTGCCAGAATTAGCTAGGAGGCAGTCATTTGCTTTTTAAAAGGGAGACGTTTCCAAATATATTTGAGATAGTGAGTTTGGCACAGACAAATCTCATAGTAGGCTCAAAGACAGCTTATGCTACAGTCTGGGGACTGAGTCAAAAGATAGGCCTTTCTATCACAATGCCCTGCATGGCAAAATGCACCATAACAATAGTTACGGATCTGGTATATGTTGCAGTAAAAATACAAAATAATAAATACATGATTTAAAAGATGTATTTACTTTTGGCAACTGAAAGTCAGTCCAGGCCGCTGCCTCAGTGGTATAAGGAAACAAAGCAAGAGAGAGGACGGAATAAGAGCTTATTTGAAAGTATGTTTAAGCAATTCTGCCATCTTTACATATCATTGTGGCCAACTGATTGCTCCACAATTTTGAATTAGAATACAGAAAAGGATAAGCAATTCCCCTTGAATATTATTTGTTATAGTCAGATCTCAAAAATCTGAAAAATAGCCAATGAAGGGTCTGCTTCCAAAAATCCCAAGTCAGCAGGATTCCATCAAGTGCATTCAAGCCTGTAATAGCAGTCGTGGCAAACAATTATATTAAACACAGCACTGTTCACTTAGTATCTAAAAGCACTTTGTGAATGCTAAGAATCTCATCACCAGCGAAATAGGAAAGTATTATCTCTACTTCACTCTGTCTCAGTTTACTCCTCTGTAAAGTCATAACACCTAGAGGAAATCATAAAGCGAGGGGAGGGACACAGTGGGAATATGCAACAATACCTAAAATTCACAAAACAAAATGCACAGCCTACATCCTACCAAACACTGGCATTCATGTTTTCAAGATATCAGATGTTTATTCAGCAGCACTAAACTATGGACAAGCCAATATTCTACAGCCAAGGTTATGAAATCTAGCATCATTATTTGAGCCAATTTAAATTCACAGTTGAATAGAAATCTCTTGCTCAAAAAGTAAAATTACTTCTTTTCCCTAAGTACAAGCTTGGAAATTATTTTCCAGGTATAATGTCTCATATTTTATTTAATAATGACTGACAACAAACAAACTAGAATGTGTTATATTTATTTAATTCACCCATCCATTACTCACTTTCCCAAGGACTTGCACATTGTAAGTCAAGTAACACTAACAAACTGTCTACACCACAACACTCCCCCACAATATAAATTGCAATTAGCAATTTTAACAATCTCTTAAATATAATTTAATACAATCTTCAAAATAGCACGGAGACTAATTTTTAAAACAGTATCACAAGCCATTCTTTAAAAAGTTATACCTTTCATGGCACAGTTAACCAATAGCATATATTGCTGCAAAAAAGGTATGGAAACTCACAAATCCTAATGTCGAGAAATTACAATGTATGTTAAACTAAAAGTCCCGATTCAGCTATCACTGTAATCAATAAAAAAATTCAAATCATCACTGGGAGGTGGGCTAGTCCTAAATTTTTATTTGCACTTGGTTTTTCCCATTTGCTTTTTAATGGCCTAAAAGAGTAATTTATAGGCCTAAGTTAAAAGATCTTCTCACACCACAGATCATCACCAACTGTTCTAGCATGATGGTAAATGTGAGGGAGGTAGGGAGGAACTGAAGCAAATGCTTAACTTGTAAGTGCACAAGCAGTCCCATTCACTACAATGGCGTTATCCACATGCTGATGGATTTGAGTGCTATTTCCTGGTCTAAGCAAGAGATAAAATATAAGTACTATTATTTCTCTACATATTTCTAGGAGATCACTTACTTGTAACCGCTACATGACGGTTTGCTTTCCCTTCATCAATGACATCCATAACTTCTTCAGGACTAGAGACAAACCTCTCTGTACAGCCCTAGAAACATAGAAAGGTATTATTTAGAAGTATAGAAAATGTGTCTCCACATCTTGTCATGGTAATGTAAAAGATTCACCTTTCACAAGCAAAAATAAATATACAATATAAACATTCTAGAGTGACCAGGCCAAAATCTGCACTCTAAGGGTATTTCTACACAGGACAGTTATTTTGGGATACCAGAGGTATCCCGAAGTAGCTACCCAACATCTTTTGAATGCGTCTGCTATTTTGAAATATAGCGGACGCGCTATTTCACCATCCCTGTAAATCTCATTGTATGAGGAGTAAGGGATGGCTCGAAATAACGCTGTATTTTGAAATTTGGCGCTGTGTAGACAGCACAAAATGATGAAATAAGTGCCAAATGACAAAATAAGCTATTTCAAAATAGACTTGAAATAAGCTACGCAATTTGCATAGCATAGGATGCTGTGTAGACACACCCTGAAGTACTTCAATAGGGCTTATGAGGGGAACTTAAGAATATTCTATTCTCAGATTGTATTAAAAGTATCAATTGAATCAAAACACTGCAAATAAGAGGATTCTATACAATCAGAAAATGCAGAAGTAACAAAAAAACTTAAGTTAACTCCTAAGTTTTTTTTAAGATTCCATTGCCACAATTACGTTTTCATTCCCCAGATCAAGAGAAGAGGAAGAACTGCACTCCTCCTCTCTGGCTACGTCTACACTGCGGAGTTCTTCCAGGATACCTTGGATATCCCGAAATAGCTACTCCATGTCTTAAGAGCAAACTCATTATATTAAAATATAATGGGCTCGCTATTCTGACATCCCTGTAAACCTCACTGCACAAGGGTTAAGGGACATTTCAAAATAAGCTATTTTGAGATAAGGGTGCTGTGTAGACGCACTCTCAGGTAATATGGTAATGTTTATGGAATGATTCGGCCTTCTTTGTTCTCCTGTATGAGGATAAGAGGTAAGCAAAAAATAGAATACTTCTGATGAAAAGGGGAAACATCCAATTTATTTTTCTATGGAATTTAAGAGGAGGAGCAAGAAGCTGTTCAAACAACAATCCATATTGTTCGTAAAAAAAAACAAACAACATTTTGCCTTATGCTTGTTGAAATATTATAAATCAATCAAACAGAGCAGCCATACCAGTGAATTTTAAAGAAAAAATTCTGCTCTTTAATTCTTTCTTTTCATATTCCATATTAAATATTAATATAAATGTTCATGAGCATTAATAACTAAATATAAAGTTAACCATTTAAACACTTGGAGTGCGTCTACACTGCACCCATAGCTCGAAATAAGCTACTCAATTTGATCTACACCAACTGTGTAGCTTATTTTGAGTGCATTTCAAATAGAGCACTATTCCGAAACGTCCTTTAATACTTGTGGAATGAGGTTTACAGCGATGTCGGAATAGCAAGCCCATTATTTCAAAAGCTATTTTGAAATCACAGGCTTGTTTCAAAAACACGGAATAGCTATTTTGGGATACCGGAAGTATCCCGAAATAGCACCACAATGTAGACATAACCTCTGGAAATGAAGCAAAGAGAAATTATTCAATCCCATCAATGTTTTACAAAACTGTTTAAATGCAAGGACTATTCAGAACTGATCAAACAACCACCACTAACCCAAACAAAACAAAGATTGCCAAATTCACTTTTTTGACAGACCGTGGCATGAACTTGCATGTTGAAAGCTATTGTGTAAATTCTATTGCCTCCACACCCACATAGTGCATATTAAGGAAGGTGCAATGGAAATCCACATATAAAAGTAGAAGCTTGTTTAACGATCCATGGGGTGGGGAGAAAGGGAGAATGAATCAAATCAAAAGATCTGAAAGTCTCTCTTATACCTTCACATACGGAACTCTATTTTTATCTTCATGAACTGCAAGGTTCGTCTTTGACACTAGAAGAAAGATTACATGTGTTAGAAATATTTAAACTTATACATTCTGTCAGTTGTAGGAATGACAGAAGAATAAATTACAAAACTCAAATTCAGAAGGAGAAAAAAAAATTCTATTCCTTACATTAAAAAAGTTACCCTTAATTTCAAGAAGCGAGGCTTTTAGTCATAAAAATAATCTTAGATGAGAATTTTTGTTGCATGTTCCAAATCAATATAAACATGTATCTAAGAAATGTGAATCCAGCTTGTATTTCATGAACAAAGCAAAGATTACAAAGTCTTAACAGAGTTCCAGGCAACTCTCCTGTTCTTGCATCAATATTACAATGTACTCTCCTATCTACAGACAAATTAAATATTTGCAGGCTGGAACAACAGTTGAAATAATCTATTTCTTTTTTTAAAATGTTCCCAAGTTGCTTTACAATCGAAACCTAGTAAAACACTGGATTAGAGCTTGGTCTATTCTCATGCTGTAGGCTAACAATTTAATTTTGTATATTTAACCTAACTTCTGATAAATGTTGTACAAAGTGGGCATTTTAACTGCAAACTGGCTGTAACACCTACAGTCAGAAGGTTTACAGATACAGTATGCATGAAAATCATATTAGTTTGCAGGACTCAGAAGTAGTCTGGTTGGTAAGAAAGTACAAAATCTCTAAAGTCTGTTTATAACCCAGCTACATTTACCTATACAGGATACTTTGATTTTAGACAATCCTAAAGCATCTTTATTTACAAAAGCTGTGGTACGCAGTGTCTTGACAATTCAAATACTTCTTTTAATATTGAAGAAAGAGCCAGATAATCAGATAACCTAAACCAGCTTAAACCAAAATTCAGACCGTTTTTTAGCCATTTTTTAAAAAACTTGAATTAAATTTACAACAGCACTGAATCAACTATAAAAGGTGGGGGGAGGAGAATGGGGAAATCAACCCTCCCCAAACTCCCTAACAATCAGTTGTGGTACGAAAAAGCATAGTTACTTACCATCAAGTAAGTCCCTTATTTTGTCCAAGTAAATTTCAAAATAAGAAACCTAGTGCAAAATAAATATTTGTTATAGATTTATAGCACTGACTCAAAAAATGTTCTTCATATTCATTGTCATATCTATAAAATAAGAGGAGAAAAATGACTCAATTAAATAGATGTACAATAATACCCTGTGAAGGGTAACTCCACAATGGTCCATCAACAAAATAAAGTGAATATATCTACCTTTGTTCTTTTCTTTCACAAAATCTCGAGATATGCAGAACGGAAAATGCCAACTGAGATAGCAGAAAATTAATAAACTCAGTGGTTACCTGAGCATAAGAACATACAAACACTGGACCAAGAAGTATCTCCACCTAGCCCAGTATCCTGTCTTCCCACAGTGGCCAATGCTAGGTGCCCCAGAGGGAATGAACAGAACAGTTAATCACCAAGCAATCCCTCCCCTATCACCCATTCCCAGCTTCTGATAAACAGAAGCTAGGAACACCCTTCCTACCCATCCTAAAGAATAGCCATTGATGGGCCTATCTTCCACAAATTTATCTAGCTCTTTTTTGAACCCTGTTAAAATCCTAGCCTTCACAACATCTTCTGGCAAGGAGTTTCACAAGTTGACTGAGTTGCTTGAAAAACTTCCTTTTGCCAACATATTTAGTAAGATACCACTTTCACACTTCTAAAAAGCTACACTGATGTACATTACAATAAGAGCTGGCATTTTTAGCAAGTTTAGTACAACATCTGTAGTTTAATACATCTCTAGTCCAGCACCCGCAGGGCCTGGGTGCTGACCAAGGAGAGAATTTGCTGAACCACAGGAGATAAATGTTGTCTAGCAGCATTACCAACACTTCCACTGATTACTGGGCTTTTAGAAGACACTGAGGGGTCAATTAGCACTAAATAACAGCACAGAAGACTGAGCATCAGTACTGGTGGGTATAAACAAACTTTATGGGAACATGGGAATCTTGGCTACACCCATGATAAATGAACATCCAGATAACTAAAATCATGCCAGACCACAGATGTTGCCAGACCAGAGTTTGCCAGATTAGAGACACTCAACCTGTAGTTAATCCAAGTTAAACCCATCCTTAAATTTAAGCATATGCATAAGCACTTTCCGAAGCAGGACCAACATAAATAAAGATCAAGTGAGCTCAAGAGAAACCATGCTCTGTTGAAAACAAGAAAGGGAGATACAGTGAACAAAAATCTCAAAATAAAGGGGTTAATTCAGCACTGACACAAGCAAAATCCCATTCAAGTTAATGGAGTTGTGGCTACTAGTATCTGGCATAAGTTTTGTTCAATGAGTATTTACATAGTTAGGCTCCATTTTATCTGCATTTATTTTATTTTAGGGGAAATAGTAAGCTACCCTATAGCTCTACCACCAATTTGTTTTAGCATGACAAAAGAGTCCTTATAATTTATTTTAGCACTGCGACTGTAGGAAAATAAGGAATAACTTTATATTGTCAATTTATTTTAACATGTAATTATATCTATTGTGGGTCAGCTTGGCTACATTTGTAATGGAGCAAAAATATTTGTTCTCCTAAAGTTCATACCAAACAGCCAAGCAGATGGTACTACTAAACAAATGAGATTTAATAAGGCAATGATTGGCAAGAAAGAAGTCTAGAGCAGTAGTTTACAAACTGTGGGTCGTGACCCAGCACTGAGCTGCACAATGGCAGGCACTGGGTTACCTTACTGTAGGGTGTCCCCATGATTAGTGGAGGTGCTAAGGCAAGCTTTCTGAAAGTCCTGGCACTGCAGACCACACTGCATCCTTGGAAGCAGCCAGCAGGTGGTCTGGCTCCAAGAAGGGGGGAGCCAAGGAGTTCCACATTCCCATTGGTCAGTGTCTGGCCAATGGGAGCTGGGGGGGGGGG